CCTATTTTGCGATTATGACAATTAATAAACAAGGTTACGGTTTGTCACTTTTACAATATTGTATAATAATTACAACTTATTTCTAGTTAAATAGAATTTTAAGATTATTATGTTAAACTAATAACTCCACTACTAATAATTCGATGTCAAATAAATAATTGTCTTAATTTATTTAAGTTCAACTTATTTCCCGAATTTCTATACCTTGATTCATTATGTACAGTGATGGACAGAATGGTTACAAACACTTTTTTTATGGGGATATTTGAAAATCATAGTGTATTCTTCGCCGATAAATGACTTGAGAGAATTACGTGACCGAATCCAACGTGCTTGTCAGATAATTCGTCAGAGATCTGGAATTTTCGAGAGAGTTCGCGACTCTGTAAGAAGAAGATGCTAAGCGTATATGGAAATGGAAGGAGAACATGTGCAACATCTTCTGTAAATATCGAGATAATAATTTAGACACATTATCTTCTTCTCACGTTGCATGCGACATAGAGGCCAGTAAGTCGATCATATGATGTTAACATACGAAAATATTTATATCTCAGAAACGGTTGAGTTTTCTACCTACGTTTATTTAGGTTTTTTACTCAGTATAGTGTGTGCTATCTACTATATAAATATTGAATAGTTTTTAACACCCTGTGTATAGAGAAAAGAGTTTAAAAGACAAATAAAGAGAAAAATATATAAAACCCATACTCAAAATATCCTAGTTTATCTTGGAATAAAAACATTGTTTTCTATAAAAGAAATGTATTATTTCAGTTAGCGGAATATTCAAATCTTGCCAATTTAATAAAGCAAATGGATAATTTGCATTTGTTAAACTAATTAAATTTTTAATATGATACTTGTGTACATTGACGTCCAGAGAAATGTAAATTAAATAAAATTAAATAGCGATTTTCTGTTTCGTCATCGTGAATTGGCTGTTAGCGTTTCCGCTCGCAGCGATTTGATTAACAATTCTAATAACCTGAATCGGTAAGTCTGTAAGAAATCCCGAGGAAGTCGACCTCTTCTAGTTTTATAACACAGCCCCACAAAAAAAAGTTATCTAGGCCTAAGACCAGACAAGTGTATTCTTATGTATTTTGACCCACTGAATACGAATCAGTGGTCAGAAATGCTCCATCAGGTCTCAAATCCTCCCTAAACTTGTAAAATGCATTAAAATGTCCCCAAAAAACTGCTCCTCGAGCTATTTTCTTGATTTATGAAGTTCTATTATAAAATTCTTGATCAATCAAGAGTCTGCTAAAAAAACGATTGAATTTTTTATTTTAAGTACGGCGTACGTTTTTTTACCTCTTAAAACAATTAATACAACTATTTTAATCCAAGTAGTTTGACTCTGATGTCTTCAATATTATGATGAACTGATATGTATTATTTTTCATTTTACATTATTTGTTTACTTGATTTAATTAATTTCTTTTATACGTTGTACTTAATAAAAACGATTTCGTGAATTCAATGTTCTTAACTAATATTACTAAGTTATTAATTGCCTTATGGCAATGATAAGCACTTATCGACAGAACACAAGAAAAGACACCTAATCAGAAAAACATATATTGGGGCAGATGCATTCAAGTTAGTACGTTGGGGATTTGCTCGAAGATTGGCATAAAAGACGTTTCTTGTTTCACTCCGGTAAGTCCGCATTTATTCTTACGTTAACAAATAATATTTGTTGCTTAATTGCACACATTAATAAAATGTTACTAGAAAACCAATACAAGAATACGCAGATAAAATATGTTTGAATAAGTATTTATAACTACTTTTACTACCCACTATGGTAACAACAATAAATGGTATCCTGAATAAGGTTACCATATTAGTTGTTTAATTACTTAATATGTAGCTATATACTTATAAAGTATCCATAACGTAAACACGACGAATAACGTCTTGATTATTTTATCAAGCCACTCCATCCTGAAACATCGAGTAAAATTAATGTGTTAAATATTATTTCAAGCTTGAAGTATTAAAAATACATAATAACATATTTGAGAAGAAATTAAATAAACTAAATGTTGTAAAGTAAAACAGAAAATTTAACAAATAATCGTTATATTAGTATGCCTGATTTATTTGTTATCTCAATTTAATTGACAGACATTTTCACGAGGAATATTGAAATCAATTTCTCGAACTTCGCAAATCCGAAAGACAAGAAAGATTAAAGTAAGCACTTTGCGAGATTTAGAGTATCAGTCACACTACTACCTTACGGTAATTGTAACCGCGTGAGTTCCGGCAAGACACTACTACCGTAGCGCTACAGCTTTGTTGCTACAATTGTAGGGACGCCATACTTACATTAGCGAGCATGACCACAAAATTATATTTTAATTATAAGAGTCGCGTTTGCCAATTATAATTGAAACAAATATAGAATGGAAAATATTGAAGATTGGCTCATGAATAACATATTTGAATAATTTGCTTGTCGTTGACTGTCTTGGCCTCCTTTGTATCGTCTGGGTGATCGATTTGTAGAAGGGATCTTAAAATGATGCTTATGACTTCGTATAATACACACTCCTTTATTGCTCGTGTGTACAGTACGGACGCTTGCTCGCTACTACTGCTTCTCTCTAATCCCCACTCTGCTGACATGCGCATAACGCCTCCTACAATACCGCTGCCTTACTCGCTAAGCGCCATAAATGAAAAGTACAAACTTATAGAAACTAAAACTACGAGCGACAAAATTAACTATCATAAATCAGACAATATTGTTCGATGATTTATCAGATAAAAGCAACAATGAAGTGGAAAACGTTTAGCTACAGTTCTATTGGAAAGTTGCGTTTTGCCGAAACGCACTCGTGTAGCGCTAGCGTAACGCGATAGTAGCAGTTTCTTGCCGGGACACACTCTTAGTTGACACAGATCCTCGTGATATTTTACAAGGAGGATTATCAGAATATTTAATAATGTGTGAGTGTGTGGTAATAGATAGGTAATGCTAACAATAAGATATGTGATATATGTATGCATTCTAAAAATATTTAGAGACGCAAACAGAAACTCCAGAGAATAACTAAAAATTTCCTATCTTAAGGTGAAATTGTCTATTCTCCATTTTTTAAGACGCACCTCACCTTTTATAATGACGTTTGGCTGCTGTTAGATCGTCTACGTTTTCGTTCAGTAGGTAAAATTTACAACCCTTTACTGCCTTTCTGCAAGTAAGAATTCATGTCGATGATATACATAGATAAATGGGACGTTATAAAATAATAATGCAAAATTATATTATAAGAAAGTAGGATTTACCTATAGTATTCATGTACGTCAAGATCTTTGTAGTCAAAACCGAAGTCTTTCCAATTATCAGCGCTGAGATTATCGACCGCAGTGTTCCATTTTGTATTATGAAATGTCCACTTATTTAATGAAAAATGCGACGCGACCGTATTCATTACATATACTTTTCTGTACAATCTCAAAACTCTAGCAATAATGAACACCTTATTAATTATTTAATTCTTGAAGAAGTTGCTCATGTGGTTTTCACATATGTACAATTTTAGGAAATATAATGTATTATATTTTTTTCGCTTTCGACGAAACTCCGAGATAAAATGTGTGATTTTTGTAATCAAAATAATTGAATTAAAAAAGTACATCAACTTTAGAACGTCTCGCATTTTAATCCAATTTTTAAGAGAAATTTATACCGTAGGAGGTTACGTGGATCGGGGCACCGCTTATTGAACGTTGTGAAAACGAACATATTCATACTGTACATTCAGGAATTCCGAAAAAGAAACAAGAATACACGTATATTGAAAAATACAGAGTGAACGGCTTCTCAACAGGAGTGAACTCTACCATAAACACAAAAGAAAATGAATCTGGATCGGTATAAGAGTTGGTGGCACAGCTGTTGCCGCGAATGCAAACTAGAGGATAAATGGTTCAATTGGGACAGGCAGGAAAATTGCAATATCTAACATATACAAAAAAAATGTCATTAATTTTTGCATATTTCAGTAAATCTTACATTGAGCGTGCACCGAACAATTTCATCATTCCATCCAAGATTGTCGCTGGTATAACGTGCAGTAGCAACACCAATATATAATAAACAAAAGAACTTGTTGTCAGTATTGTTCGTGGTTTCCAAAGTATATTATCGAGAGGAATTTCCTCTGTGATCTTCATGCTTACGTCCAACGAACCTTTGGTAGTCAGGTTCTTAATTTGATTTGACGTGCAGTTGTAAATATCAATCGTATTAATCTCACTGAAGAATAAAATATACAATAAATGACAGTATACACGTAAATACACATATAAACATACATGAAGATTCGGTTGCATATAGCAGCTCTATTAATATTTTAGAAAATTATACTATAAGAAATGAAATTGTTTTATTACGAAAGTGTCCGACTTACGTTTTAATACCACGTTTCCAAGCCATGACTATTACCACTTTAATGACCATGTCTACTGGAACATTATCTGGAATTACAGAAGGATCAGTCCTAATTACACGTATTAAACCTTTACCAGCACCAACCATCAATCCGATCGGTCCGTTGAAGTTGTCTAACCAACCCTCAACAGGATCATTCCATGTCGAAACAACTGAAAAATACCAAAATGTTTTTAATAATTTAAAGTTTTCCCAGATGCATTTTTGTGTCAAAATAATTTTGTTTCCATTGATTTTTAATCATATCCATTCATTTATTAATATATATGTGGCATACTTATGATATTTTTTACATATTTTCTGTAATATAACATGTATCTAACACAAGCTATTAGTAAAAAATTATTGTATGTCTATATGATGAAAAATAAGGAGAAAAATTTCACAAGATTAAATATTTGTAAAGAATAGCACATAACAATTAGTGAGTACAATTGAAGAAATACGTTTTGTCAAATTCATTTATGATAGAAAATGTCGTTGATTTCTTTATATTCGTAAATAAAATAGCTTACTATTATTTACATGTTTATATAAATAAACGATTCTTACAAACAGTTTAATAAGATCAATTTTAATAAGAACGTTGAACCAGGGAACTTGAGTAAGGTAAAAGTAAATGTAAGTATATAAATGTATTAGAAAATGCAAATAAGTATTAAAATATATGTATGTACCGATTGAGGGTCTTGCGATCACGCAAGGTAGTGATGTCGAATAATCGCCTATCACTTTTTCGGCCAGTATCTTACTTAAGAGATAGGTGTTTGGTACATTTTTCATGTATCTGTAAATGAAATAATTTTATTTTTAAACTGATAATGTGTTACATTCCCTATTCACCGTTCATTTTTCAACTTACTTGGCTGTTAATATTTTGAGAAGATGCTCGTCGCAGGACTCTGCGATTTTAATTGTTTTCTTCCAATCGATTTCCGAGGGATATAATATCTCCTCCACTACAGGTTTATCACATTGGGTAAAGACCGTACTAACGTACAGTAAAACCTTAAACCATTGACACAAATCAAATATTAGGATTTTATTTACTTTGAGACTTTCTTTAAAGTAACAGGCATGTTTTATTTTTGTACGCTATTTGATTATTTCTTTATAACTACAATTTTCGTATTGCACCTTACCGATAAATTACAATAAATTTCTTTTTAGAGTAAAAAGATTACCTTACTTTACTTTTTTACATAGGCTAATTGAGGTAATTATAGAAGTTATTTATTTCTTTTGACCTTATTATTTATTAAAATTATACGTATGTACATAAGTATATACATATATGTACGTTTTCATCTCTGCTGTGTCTACTCTGCTGTGCATACAAACACACACTCACGCTCTCACACACTCATACTCACACACTCACACACTCACACACACTCGCGCACACACACACACACACACACTCACACTCACACTCACACTCACACTCACACTCACACTCCCTCACACACACACACACACACAATCATAATACTTTCTAACAAGTAACTTTCAAGTAAGACCCCTATCTAAAGCGAAACAATATATGATAACACGCCAATGTGGGTCACAAGGCAAGATGTAGGTAGCCCAACTTGTAAATCTTAAATCTTTTTGAAAGTCGTGAATCTATATACCGTTTCTTTCCACATTAGTACTACGCGCCGATTTCTTTTCCGGACATATCGCAGTTTATCATATACGTGGAAATATTGTCGTCAGCAGATTCACGTATTCGATTCGATGATTATTTTTCAAATGCAATTCGCATTTTTCTGATGCTATATTTAACATTCAATCCCCTCCCTCTCCCCATTTTCCCCGTCCTGTAAATTAATTTTATTGCGAAAAATATTACCCCAACCAGGATTTGAGGGAGGTCCCAGGTTCGAATCCTGGTTGTTGTAATATTTTTCGCAATAAAATTAATTTACAGGACGGAGAAAATGGGGGGAGGGAGGGAATTGAATGTTAAATATAGCATCAGAAAAATGCGAATTGCATTTGAAAAATAATCATCGAATCGAATACGTGAATCTGCTGACGACAATATTTCCACGTATATGATAAACTGCGTTATGTCCGGAAAAGAAATCGGCGCGTAGTACTAATGTGGAAAGAAACGGTATATAGATTCACGACTTTCAAAAAGATGTAAGATTTACAAGTTGGGCTACCTACATCTTGCCTTGTGACCCACATTGGCGTGTTACCATATATTGTTTCATAATACTTTCTACTGTGATTCTTTGGCATAATAAAAATGTAAATCTTTAAGAACTAAATTATATAGTTCTGTTCGTGATACACATATAGATTTTATTTTACCATACTTTGCACACCAACACTTTGATACTTGCGTACAAACACTTTTCAGTCTGTTATTCAATTTTGTATGTGTAAGGTTTTTTAAATACTTTTATCGAAAGACACATACAGAAAGACAAGCAGATGGAATTATTAATAACAATATTATTGTTAAAAAGTATATTTATGTACAATTGTTGGTACCCATTAATTATTTAATAATACCTTATTTTACAAAGTAAGTAATAAACACTTACGACTAGTTGCTTCATATTCTCAGCTAAAATACAAGTATTTAGCGTTCCTCTAGTGTTATTGAGAATCATGTCTTTTAGACTTCCATCAAATCTGACGTTAGCTCCATTGTGGAATATTATAGATACTTTTTCGATCAACATTTCTCGATCGGAGGGAAGCAATCCTAAATTGTCAGCAGCTAAATTTCCACTTATAGGAATAATTTTATCAAACGCAGACGGTTGCGTGCTTCGTAGCAGATCGAAAAGCTAAATTATTAACACCAATTAGTAAAATAGAACGCATGGTATATTTAATATTTCTATTGCTATTTCATTCAATTTTAATTTCGAAAAAATTCTCTATTGAACATTTAAAAGATAAAAAGGTCATGCATATATCGTTTGAATATAAATATAATTAATATTAATTTAAAAAATTTGTTTTGTTATCATATCTTGATATCACAAAACGTTTAACAAGAAGCAATGCTTTTGTTCTATCTAAAAAAACTATTTTATACATTCTTAAATTGTTTCTATATAAACTAATGATATGAAAAGCTAATTTGTTTGTTTTTCCTGCAACACTGAAATAAAGTTTCCATTATTATACATTCAACGTGGTAATTAGAAAATGATTTCAAATTAGAATATTGAACGAATTGGTGTTTTTTTATTTCCTGCGTCTTTAAAAAACAGATTTCTACTAATTTTGAAGATCGATTCTATTGTATTGCTTAAAATACTTCTAGTCATAACTACACGAATTCATAATGCCTACGAGTTAAACGGCAGCATATAATTGTATTGTAGCAGTAATAACTCTTATAGTAACTTGTATAATAGTTAATAGAAACGCCTCTATGGTCAGGCTGGATTATAGTACCTAGCTATATTTCTTTCTTCTCTATAAACTTTTCTCAACCCAACAAAATGTAATAATAACTTAACGATTATGTATGGCAAATATATTTATGCACATTTATGCTGATCTCACCTTGTTATCCAACATTTTCTTCAGTCTATCGTTGATACTTAGTTCTTTTTTCGGCCGTATGAGTACAAATATGTTTGCAACATCGGGACATGATCGTAAAATTTTTTCAATAAGAACTTTACCCATAAACCCAGTCCCTCCGGTAATGAATATACAGCGGCCGGCATAAAAAGCCGGAATATACTCATATGCTGTTTTATTTTCCATGTTTAGACGTAACGTATATAT